TTTACGCTCCAAACCCTCTGACAACTTGCCCAACTTGAGCCAAATGAGCTTTTGCTTTCCTGGTTGCTGCTGTTGTGGCTGTTGCTGTTTTGGTGCTCTGAGAGCCCTGCTGTCAGCCAGGCAGATGAGCTCTGCTGGTTGTGCTGAGCTGGTGGGAGAGATCCAGGCCTTGCATTATGTTTTTGTCTGCCAAGGGATGTTCCTGACAAATCGGACCCAGGGAGCAGGCAGTTAAACCAGGTCCTTCTCTTCCTCTTGGCTCTTCTCCCCACTACAAATAAATCAGGGCAGAACTCACTGACTGCAAATGATCTTGTTTGGGAAAGTCAACCCTGATAGTGGCCTGTCCCTGGTGCAAAGGGAGAGGTCACATTGCTCTGTGGTGACTTCAGCAGATAGGAGGTGACAATGATGCCCTAGAACAGCAATAGAGACTAACAGCCAAGCAGCACTCATGCTCTAAATGCTCTTGCAGTTGATGGAATGAAAGAACAACCCTAACAAACCACCAAGAGAAACCCAGCGCTGAGGTGGGGACACTGAAACTGCTGCACTGGCTCACCATGGCACTGAGGAAACCAGAGGCTTCAGAGGGGAATCATCACAGAGCAGGATGCTCAGAGAGGAAAAGTCATTATGTCTTTGCTGTGAGTTAGTGGTTGCTCCGAGGACTCAAAGAAATGAAAATGCATTCTCCTGGTGTAAGATTTGCCCATTCCTGTGATCCCGACACAGGCCAGCACTGGCACTTTAAAGGCTGACTCTGCCATCCACATCCATACAGGGCTCCCCTGAAATCAGAAGCATCTCCTGCATTACAGGAAATACCAAAAAGGAAAGCGTCTGCTTTAATTTGTCTGCATCAAAAGGTGGTGTCTGATGCCAGGTTCATGTTCAGGTACTCCTGGAAACTCCTCTTAAACTGAATGGGAAAGAGGGGAAGTGAGGCAGGAACAGGCTCTCTTGTATAGGCACGTTTCCATGATCAGGCAAGGGAGATAGATGGGGAGGTGGAATGAAATGGTAGAGGGTGACTGGGACACTGGGACCCCTCACGTCCCTCTGGCATCACTACACTTGGTCTTCCCAAGCAGTGTATTTTCAGGGAGCAATACGAGTCTCAAGCTCCAGCTTAAGCACTCACATACCTGCTTGGCTAAGTGCCAACACCAGGTTAAGGCACCTTCTCTTCTCCAAGACATAAGGCTGTGTTTGTAATTAAGACTGCCCTAATGAAATCCATAAGGAATGATGGAGTAAAGGGCCATGAAGTGGTCTCAGGGTCCTGTTACCAAACCACAAGAATCTCCATTGCTGAGGTGAAAATAAGCTACTGTAATTCATTGTTTCCTCTTAGTTGGTGTCTGATCCAAGTTGTCCTCAGTGAGAAAAGGAGTCATTAATTCCTTCATCCTCTACTTAGGGGGATTTGGGGTAGCTTAGAGGCATGGCCTGGGCAGTCAGTTCCCACTATGTGCATCCAAGTGTCTCTTAACGTTTTCCTGAATGCTGTTGGAATTAACTTCCCTTATTTGAAGGAATTTTAGTTCAAGCACAGAATCAGCTCCTGCTGATTAGTTCCTGGTGGTTTGTCCTTTCTCAAGAGCTGTAGCACTTGCTCTTCTCCATGCCTTTTGTATAGGACTGGATTAGAGTGAAAGTCCTTTGTTAGCAGCTTAACCACTCCATCCCTAAGCTCATTTGTACCCTGGGGATGAAAACTGAGCCATACCCAGTGACAAGCTGCTGGGCTGGGGTCTGAAGGAAAGCCTGCTGGAATCAGGGCACATGGTGGGTGATCTGCCTGCCCAGCTTTGAGCAGCCTATTGCCTGAAGTGCCTATTTATGGACTAGTGCTGCTGCTGCTCTGCTTAAAGGGTAAAGCCAGGAGTAAAGTGAGAGCAATTCATGTGCTAGACAAGCTGGACTGTGTGCTGGAGGTGCTCATCTCTCTCTTTTGAAGAGAAATTAAGCCCAGATCTTAAGCCAGGTGCCTCTGTGCTCAGCCTGAGTTAGGTGGAGTGAATTGCCATCATTACTGCCTAAACTGGTAGCAGGATCCCAGCCTGACTTGCTGGTCTGATCTGGTAGCTGTGGGTGTGACATCCTGCTCTGTGGGTGACACTGCCTGGACACATCTTGCAAAGGTACCTGCCAAAGAGCCCCTTCACCCCCTCCTTGTTCCTCCTAATTTCTACCTTACTTTCCTGCCTGGTTTGTTCTTTCTCCTGGCTTTTCTTGTTCTGCATTTACCTTTCTGGCAGAAACCTCTTTGCTTGTGTAAAACCTGGAGCATCACTACACCACCAGACGTGTTCTTCCTCCTCTCTGTTTAGTTCACAGGCCTTTTCAACAGGAACCAGCTCACCCTTTGTATTTAGCCACTGCCTTGTACCTCAGTGTTACCACATGTATAGCTCAAAATGTAGCATTCACACATCTTGTACTAGGAAGAGAAACCCACTTGCAGTTGACCTTCAAACTACTGACCACGAGGTGGGTCTCTAAAGCTTTGCAAGTGTTTTGAAAGGGACCACACTGACCTCAAGCTATTCTAGATGTGATGACCCCAGAGACAGAAATAAATTCATCCCAGTATCCCTTCTGATGTTATCCCTTCCCAGGAATACTTTCAGTTTGTGACCCAGATAATGCACATTATCAACCAGACTCTGCAGTCCAGTTTGCTGTCCGCATTTTCCTGTGTGACTTTCCCTTGCTTCTCCATCCACTGCAGGGCAGGTCTTTGGTTTGCACAGGTTTAGACTACCTGAGGGATCTATATCTCTGTTAATGAACATTTCTGCATAGTTATCTGGTGTGATGCTGTTCTGGCCACAGCAAATGGAGTTGTGGACCTGTACTATGGCTGAGTGTGTTCATGCAATAACAAACACACTATGGAAGTGGGTCAGGAACTCACCTTCTGTCTCAGGCAAGCCAGTGCAGTCTCTGCTAGTTGAGAGTGTCCCCAGTGTCCTTGGCCTTGCAATCCTCAGGCTGGTCCCCTTCCCTGGGCTGTGATTTTGCTGTGTCCTGCTCAGAGTCAACAGTCTTGTCAGAGCTGGCTTCCCCTGCGGGCAAAGGCTCTTTGTGCTCAGTGCCTTCAGCATCTTCGCCTCCTTTCAGTGCAAGTGCCTGCCCCTGAAGGGCAGTGTTTGGGGTCACTTCCTCCCCTTCTTTTCTCACCAGCTGTCCTTGACCTGCATCCAGTCTGTCTCCTGCTGTGTCCACCTTTCCCCCGTGGCTGCTTGAGGAGCCCTCAGTGGACTCCTGTTCTGAAGCTGTGTTTTTCTCTAGGGCAGCTCCATCTACATTCGCTGCCCCAGGCAATGACGACGTCTCCTCACTGCCGTGCCTGGTGGCCTGCACGCTGCTTGGAAGGCTGCTCTGTGAAGCAGTGCTGTCAGTGCTCTCCTGGGGGATGTCAGCAGTGTCAGGCTTCCCACTGGCATCTTCCCCAGCACCTTCATTACTTGGCTTGGGCCCCGGGTCTGAGTCACCTGTGCTGGCCACAGACACCTCCACGCTGGAGCCCTTCGCTCCTCTCCGCTCCTCCTTCCGACCATTGTGGGCAGAATGGACCTTTCCACTTTTGAGCCTTTGTGATGAGGAGGCCCCATGGTCTTGGGGGTTTGGCTGTTTGACCTTCTCCTCCAGCTCAGCTGCACAGTTCTCTTCCACCCCCTCCTCGCCTCTGCTCTTCCGCTTCTCCATCCCAAGACTCTTCTGAGGAAAGAAGGAGAGATTTAGTTCAAATACCTGGATATGGTTTCCTTGCCTATGGTGGTCCTCAAAACGTGAGGAAATGCTTGCAGAGGCCATTGAGGGACATAAAAGGATGTAGATGGAGAAGTGTTCAGGTACCAGAACAGGTGGGGTTTGTTGCGCAATGCAAGAAGTGAAGTTGCTCTCTCATCATCTGGTGAGTGCTAACAAGGGGCACATTTACCCCATCACAGAGGTTCCCCTGCTCTGCCCTGGGAAAGGGCACGTGCCTTTCCTGACAGGGCATGTTCTGACAGAACTCAGCAACCAGCCTTAAACTCATGAGCTCACCTGGCTGTCCAGGTCATCCTTCAGAAACAACATGTCCTCTCCTTCTTTTGCGTCCCATCTGCCAAGAAAGAAAATAAATATGAAATTCAGAATTTAGGCCTTCAAGTTATAGAATCAGGGAATGGTTTGGGTTGGAAAGGACCTTAAGATCATCCAGTTCCAACCCTCTGCCATGGGGGTCTAGTGATGCCTCACACCAGACCATGTCACCCAAGCTCTGTCCAACCTGGCCTTGAACACTGCCAGGGATGGGGCAGCCACAGCTTCTCTGGGCACCCTCTGCCAGTGCCTCAGCACCCTCACAGGGAAGAGCTTCTGCCTTATCTCCAACCTGAACTTCCCCTGTTTCGGTTTGAACCCATCACCCCTAGTCCTGTCGCTCCAGTCCCTGACGAAGGTCCCTCTGCAGCATCCTTGTAGCCCCCTTCAGCCAC